TCTAAAACGGTGTTAAAGGAAGCTAACAAAGTTAGGCAAAAAGCCTGACCTTGAGATGTGCTTCCCATTGGAGCTGGGATGCCAAAAGCCTCAGAACCAAGTCTGGAGCTCTGCTCAGACCGAGAAAGGAACATGCAGCAGGGGCAGGAAACACATACCTGGGAACAGAGAAATGCACATGATACTCTCCAGCTTTTTCAGTGTTCAAAAAAAAATTAGAAAAAGAAAAAAGGAACCTTTGGAGCAGGAGCAGGTGCCGGGTAGGTATAGCATGATGGTCCAAGTCAGCTTCCAGTTTAGAAACAAGTGTAAAGCATTTCAATGTTTCTGATGATGACAGACTTCCCAACTCGTCACCTGAATCCTTCTGTTCCAACAGCGGATGTGTCTGCCCCTGAATGCTAACAGGGAGCAGAGGGAGCTGCTCCAGAGAAGACAGCCACAGAAGCTTTCTCGCTGCAAATTCCTTCATGCCACTTTCTATTTGCATATTTTAAAGCAAGCTGTATTCCTCGGAGGGCGAGAAATATTTGCAGCAGAACTGTGCCCTATTGCAAAGGAGTCACAAGCAGGACACGGTGTGACCGTCGTGGATTGTCCTGCTCTGAATGTCCCATACCTCCAGGACTTCCCAGCCCATAGTCCAAAGGGAAAGGCTAGCGTGAGCTTCCTACTTGTGGGAGAAGTGCCAATCTCTACGCAGCAGAGGTATTTCATTTCATTATTTCAAAGCGATGTGCAACACTTAAAGCCCACAGACACTTCCAGCCTTTTTCCATCTCCTTTCAGCAGGCACATTCTAGTTCTTTTCATTATAAACTCTGCAATTACTCCAACCTGGCTGAGGGATTATCCGTCCAGTTCATGCTGAAACCTCTCTCTCGCATGCACTCTTGCACACTCACACACACATGCACACATATCCTAAGGGGGGGAAGTTTGAAAAAGCCACTTTCTCCTGACATTGGGAGATCTACTTACCAGATTGCTCCTCCCTGGGTGCACAATAAACATCAGCAAATGTTGAGGCCGTGGCAGTTTCAAGTTCAAGTTAGAACAGTTAACTTCAGTTTCCTTCTTAGCTATCAGAAAATCTGTACAACTCGGGAAGTGGGGTAGGAATCCTCACCCTTCTGCAGTTCTGTATGAAGTACCCAGACATAGCCCCTTCTTGAGGGTAAGACACCATTCTTACTGTGTGCCAAAAACTGTACCTTTCACGCTCTGCACAGCAGAGTTCAAACTATGGTACCACATGAAGACCCAACAGTGCTCAGAAGTTACAGAATAAGAGCACGGAGCACCAGGGCCACGACAACCAAGGTCAAGGTGCAGTAGCAGTGTTTCTGTTTGGCCAGTCAGCCTTACGGTTCTCTCAAATTCTCTCAATTAGTAAAATACAATGCATCTGTGTAGGTGTTGGTCACAAAGATGCAATTAAAATATTAGCAAGTTCTGCAGCCTTCAGAGGGTGGAGTAATAGACCATTGTTTTCTACAATAACCTAGATGTAAAAGACAGAGGATGACCAAGCCGAGCAAAATAACTATTAGATCTGCAGCCAAGGTCATACAACACCCTGCCGATATGTAACCATGCTGCAGACCTTGTAATAACTGAATTTAGAGGAACAGTGTTCAAATAACATTAGGAGTAAGACTCAGAACTTGAACTCGGCAAAATTTGAGATGTAAATTTTGATTCTCTCTACTCCTTTGCCACTTTAGCTTTTGGACTGCAGAATGCCTGATATGTAGAGTTGCCCAAAATCTGGAACAGCCTTCCTAGACTTAAAAGTAGTGCCAAAATCAGTTTCGGATGAGCTTATTATTGTGAATTAGAACTTTTATGACTCTGCAGAGGTAAGTCACACTGTCAGCGTTACCTGAACAGAGCTGTTAACCTGTTTGACTCTTTCACAGTAATAGTTCAAACACAAAACGGTAGTGTCACCATGTGCTCTGAGACGCTCCGATGCACTGATGTAGTGTCTAGGCTTAAAAAAACCACAGTGAGCCAAGCGCTCAAGATTGCTGCCCATGTGCTCCAGGAACTGCACTAGGTACTCCCCAAGCACCAGCTTTCCCTTCCTCCGTAACTCCATCATCACCTTGCCTGTCTTAGCTGTCACCAAAACGATTTAAGCCCTCTGGACTGCTCTTTGGGGACTCTTGGTCCAGCTCCTTGTAAAATTCCATTGGTGGAAAAAGCGCATCCCAAGCAATTAGGAACAATGCAACTGCTTGCCCAGCAAAGTGAAGTTGATGAGAATAGCTTTAAAAAAAATTTCCCATCTGCCAAGTTCCAAGTTTAGAAGGTGTTAACACAGCCTATGTGAAACCCCTCTAGCCCAGAGATGAAGGGCTCCAATTTCCTCCTGCAGAAGTGGAGCAACTCCCCTCTAAGGCAGTGGGGGTTATTCCAGACCTAAAGTAGCAGATCTGGGCCCAGACCCAGACCAGCCAGGAACTGATTTACCCAGTCTTTCCTGATCTAAATGTAGGCCTAGCGCACTTCCTTCCAGCTCTGTTAAAAGAGCTGTTTCCCCCTAGACTTCTCTGTCTAGGTCAAAGACATGCAGAACTGTTTCTCACGTCCCTCCTCTTTTGGGCTATTTTTACCTTCTAAATGACGGCAATTTGCAAAAGCCTCAGCTAGAAAGCAAAGATCCAGCTCAGCTATCAGCAAAGGGACTAATCAGCCTGTGTCCCCAAACCGCAATGCAGCATGCACGTAGGTTAGAGAAGCACACCAAAGGCTCTCTCCTCTGAAGGCCTTCGAGCAAGACCAGCCCCAGAAATGCTGCAGAACTGGCCTGGAGCCATTGCTGATTGTACTGACTGTACTTGTGGCCATACTCATTCTACTCATCTCCCATCACCAGGTGACTGTGCCTTTGCTCATCCGTGTGAGCAGTCTTATTGTCATGGCCAGAGTGTCTGTGCAGTGTCTCTACTCCTGGGTAGCTAGATCTTGAGAGCTCCACAGGGTTTTTAGGAGCTCCTTCTTCAGGCATCCAGCTACAGCCTCTCTGAAGGGAGAAGCAATGGAAAGAAAGATGCAATGTCCAGATTTCCTCTTTACCCCAGCCTCAGACTTCCTCCGATTTACAGAATGATTCATAAGCCATCAGCAACACACTTTCTTCAGGGAGAACGGCAGGAGGAAGACGTTACAGACAATCCCTTTGGTGGTGAAATACTGCCCTGGGTCAACGTTTCACCCAGTGTGTGGTGCATGGGATCTCAGCCCCAGTCCATCATGCTTGGGACTTTGGCAGAAGAGAATTTAACTTTTCACTGAATAGCATTCCCCAGCCAAGCAGATTAAGGGTTAGCAGAGCAGGCAGGAGAGGAAAGAGATGGATTTGGCTCATGTTAGTCAAATTTCGAGGGTTTTCTCTCCACAAAAAATAGATCTGCAATTAGGACAGCCAAAAGCCACAGGGAAGTCAGACGGGGCCAGGCTGGTCTGGCTGTTATAAGTGTTTCTGCTGCTCTTCAGAGCTGAATGGTTTTTCAAAGGCCTAGCAATGGATATTGATTTCAGTCTGAGAGTAGCAGCCTCCTCCCCACCCCACCTCACACCCACCCTGAAGTGACTCTCTCAGAAAGATGCACTGTGGCTATAAGTCTTCTGCTTAACAGCAAAGCGACACATTCTGGCAACATCTTAAATATATTCATAGGACATCTGTGACTGGGTTTCGAGGGGAACCAAACAGGATAAAGGGAAGAGGAGGGAACATGAGAAGGGGAATGAGGGAGGAAAGGGATGGAAAGGTTTAAAAATGTTAACTGTTCCTGAAAGATAAAAGTCATCTTCTGATATAGCAGCACTTCAGCAGTCAGCCGCGCTGAGTAGACCCTGTTTGAGATCAACCGCATGCCAACTTTATTCCAGAAACAAGTCTGAGAGCCTCTCTCTTCAGCAAGTATTGGTTACGTGGATAGTTCTTTTGTCCTGGCATTGGCAGATAATTTAAATACTGCAGCTTAAATGAGTCCTGGGAACAAAAAAGAGAACAAACCAAACAAACCCCATTTGCACCCCATGATTTAAAAGAACATCTGATTGACCAGAGTGTTTGAGAAAATCAAGACAGCTGATCTGACAGCTCCAGAGCATCGCTGTACATTTAACAATCAGACAGAAAGGATACAGGATGTGCCCCATGACAGAGCATTTTTATGGGAAAATGTCACTGTGGACACCCCCTTGCAGAAGCCTGTCAGCTCTTCTGCCATTTTTCTCAAGCTAACAGTAATTGTGCATGCACCCACCAAAATGGGCAATCATGCCATCCTGCTCCACTCATATATATCAAATCCACTCTACAAGCAACCCAAACAGAGGAAACATTATGCCCTCCCCACACTGTATGGGCCAAGACAAAAGGGTAAGGTGATGAGTAAAGCAGCCAGGCTCTGCTATGAACTATTTAACACCCGTGCTACGCTAGAGAGAGCAAGGGCCAGGCTCTACCAATAAATGATTTCGCACAGTGATGCATCTCGATTAACTTCACCTGGGCTTGTGACTTGGCATCTCGTCCCCTAGCCAAACTGCTCTTTTGAGTCAGCTTGCTGTGAGTGAAAAGAATGGCCACTGCTTCAGAGGGAGGGAATAAAGCTGACACTTCTTGGCAAAACCCTCCTGCCTGGTGACAAGTGCCCAGGGTCAGGCCATCTGCATCCCCTTGTTAGGCAGCAGCTGCTCTACTCGCTCTGCAGAAACCGTTCCTCCTTCTGGACAGCAGTGATAGCTGATTTAACTATTGATGATGATGGACAGAGGAGGAGGAGCTCTTCAGGGCAACTCACAGGTGCCACATGCCACAAATCCTAAAATGAAGTCCCTGTTCTAAGGTATCAAAACCATTCCTGCGCTTTTACAGGACACTGCAACTACCGTTCAATCAAGACGAGAAATACTGATAGACTGAGCTAGTTATTTCAAGGAGCATGCTTGCACTACATCCAGTGTCACCTTTGAGCCTCATTTTATGTTTTAAATCTTTCTTTACCTGTGCGAGTGTGAGGTACAGTGTAGCGTTATTTATCTTGAGACGTAGGTGTATGTTCTGGACGGGGAACGAGTGGATTCTGCTTGGGCAGCTGGGTCATTCAGAAAATCCCAGATGAGGATGGTATCATCATGTGAGCTGCTGACGATCTGGAATTCGTCGAACTGAAGTCGAAAGACTCTTCCAGAATGCTCCTAAAAGCAAGTGAGAGACATAGCATGTTATTTTGCAAACTTGCTGGCACCTGGGATGGAGCGGGAAAGATGAACTCAGGCTTGGATTCTAGTGTTACCCAGCATGACACACTGTGCATCACCATCATACAGTGTAAATTAAGACCTCTCCCTGTGAAAAGGGTTTGCCATATCAGAGTACTTGGCTTGCAGAAAGTTTACATTACAGTTATCCAGTTACTCCTTAAATCCCAACACTGGACATGCACCATGCAGAACAAACCAAGCTCTCTCCACCACACAATTCAGTCTGGTGAGGCTGATGAGAGCACTGCCCTCCGCATTCCATGGCAAATCTCTTTCCCAAAATCACATCATTCTCAGATGCTGCACAGGGGGAGAGATGAGAACTTCCCATTCGAGACTTGGCACCATTGTGACTGCTGACGAGGAAAGAGCTTAATACTGGAGGACACTAAGGAGACTGTTGTAAAGTCCAGTGGCACAGTAATAATTCCTCCTAAGCAGCTCTATAAATATGAACTAGAAAGGGCATTCTTTATAGGCAGTTTGCATTCTGCTCTGAGGCTGAGTGGAAATGGCACGACGATTTGGCAAGAGTTCAGATTGTAATTAACAGGAGGCAATGGCAAGATCCTGAGTATGCAGAGCAAATCCACTACGCTTTCCCTTTTGCGTTGCCTGTTTTTTTCTTGGAGCTTACGCTGCTGCAAGAGTGAGCAGTGGCCTTCTTGGTCAGCAGGGAACAGAAGCCATGCAACTAAGGCAAGCCCTATCTCTTCTATTAGCACCTATTTCTCTTTAGTGCTCGACACTGTAAAGGGTCCAGAAGAAATTATGTCTTAAGTCACTTTAATACTGAAAATACAGGTTTCTCAAACATTTAGACAAAAGGGGATTGTTAGCTACTAAATAGGAAGCCTCTGTCTTATGGCACAGGACTACAAAAATACAGCTTGGTTTGCAAAGTGCAACAGCTGCTTTAAAGTGAATCTCTGATTCTTTAAACTAAAATTAACTGAAAATACACAAATTTTAGAAAAGGCCTTATCATTGGTATCTTTCTGATCTTCTAACCATACCTTTCTGTCTTAAAAGCATCTTAAGAGTTTCTGTCTTCACACTCATTCCAAAAGGAAATTTTTTTCCAGAGCGCTTGTTGCAGCAGTGAAGGAAAGACATTCTTGCTAAAAAATATCACTACAATATCCAGATCCATTGAGGGACTGCTCACAGAGACACCAAGAGAGAGGTACTTTTGAAACTCCCTTCTTTTTTAGCCAGTCATGGTGGGCTAAGTAAGGTTGCCCTAGAAATTCCACACAGCATCTGCCCTTTGCTGTCGCAGTAGCAATAAGCGGAACACACACCCTAAGTTTACGCCATGAGTACCTGGACTCTTTAGCTCACAAGGAAAGCTGAACTGTGTGCTTATTCTGCGCTTGGAAAGCTTCTGTCAAACTCACACGGCCGCTGTTCCAGCTAACGGAAGACAAAACTGGAAGGGACCTGGCGCGCAGCGAGCATTTGTTATCTGTGCACTTTCCTCCTACTGTTTGAAAATTGAACACGAGCAGCAGGAGACTCACGATGTTCATTGTGCAGCCAGGTTTAATTTTGGAGGCCAAGGGAAGAGGGAAAAAAACCCACCCCAAACCATGGGTAAGCAGGTATAAGGACGCCGTGTTGTCATAAACATGAAAAGTCCTAAAAAGCACTATAACAGCTTCCTCTGCCCCCCCTCTTCTGGCCCCCTCCATTGCTATCAAACAGGGATTTATGAGCATCCACGTGTTGAGATTCCTACTGTGTTTCCATCCCACCGCTTCTGATTTATAATATAATTAGCTGGGGCACTTTGGCTGTCCACTGCTGGAGAATGTAGAGGAAATCACACCACTTAAATTAAGTCTACAGGTTACTAGGCACACATTTGTCTCAGGCTGGAGCAGGAACACTACTAATACCAAGCTGAAGTCTTAGACTCTCAGGATATGTGCTCACAGGCACAGAATCGTTCCACAGTTTGCAATTGGGTGGCTGATGACAAAAGGGTTTTTCCTGGATTTCAGCCATGAAACTATTTGCAGTTCTATTTGGCTAACGAGAATGTTTTTCAACATAGTACTTGCAAGCATCCGAGACTCTCACGGACTCTGACTCTGCAGCTTCTGGTCCAAATATATGATTGGAAAAGAGTTAGCACAGCTTAATGATCTACTGCCTGTCAGCCGAGTCACAGTAACCCTCACAGCCTACACCAAACGTGAAGTTAAATACTTTAGCAAAATCTACAGCAACGGTAGCAATTCAGGTGGCCGACGAGTGAGCAGAAGGTCAGCTAGCACAGCTCAGCTGGTGAGAAGTAACCACATCTGGAGAGTCAGACAGCCTTGGTATGAGCTTTGTTTAGAGCACAGATGACAGTTACATCCCTCAGCATGAAAAGGTATAACCAACCCGAACACTGCCCAAAAACTTCTTAGCTAAAAAATAAGCACCTCTAGTAAACATGAGAATGAGAATTTGGTACCATCCCCAGCAACAGTGCAGGCTTTCTGGGGTGAATGCACTGGAAGAACGCTCACAGGAACCATCCCATGGCCTTGGCTATACTGGCATTTTCCTCACAACCTTCCCACATTACTGTAAGACCAGTGCAGAGCCATTGTTAAGCATGACTGCATTCTGTTAACACTCACACAATGACGTTTTACCCACACCACCATCAGACCTGCACTAAATACCCAACGGATGGCACAAAAGTAGTAGTTGCTGTTTAAGGATGAGGCAATTTCACTGACTGTTCAGTCCTTACCTGCTCTCTCCTAAAACATCCAAAAGCCAGTTAAAAGCAATCCCAAGGGTGTTTCTGTTCTTTTTCCTCAAATTTGGAATGCATTACTCTTCTTTAAGAAATTTCATGTCAACAATTCAGATACTTAATACCACATCATCGGATACACACAGGTTAAAGTAAATCCACTGACACATGGCTTCCAAGAAGGACAAGTCTCAAAAAAGGATTTAGTTATTAACTTCAAATCGCAGAATAAAACTGTTAAAAAGTGAGTGAAAACTCCACAGCTTCTAACTTCTAATATTTTATAACTTGCAAATTCTAAACCAAAATATTGGATACCCAAAAAAGCCAGACCCCTAGAAACGATTTCTAGACCCTGCAGGCTGGGGTTAAGCTGACTTGAGTTTTCATGGCTCAAGATAGCCCTGATGAAGCACACTCTTCTTCCCCTTCCAATGCCCCAAAAGCTCTTACCACAAGGGTTCGCAAGCAGAGGGTCCCTGCTGGAGCACGGGGGTCCAAAGCAGCCACAAGATCCCATACTTTAATTTTCCTAGTAGTGAAAAAACAGAAAAACACCATGTCCCTGTTAAAGAGCAAAAAGCAACTGCTCACAATGAATAAATAAATAAATAAATAAATAAATAACTGCTACTACTTCTTGGCTTGGCTAATCCACCAGTTCAAGGAAAATTAGAGCAATCTTTCTGCTCTTGAGACCTGGTTCTTGCATTTTCCCTTTGTAAACCTTATAGAGATTAATGGGAAAAAAATATACTGTCAACGAAGTGAAACACATAAAAAGCAGGTGGTAATAACTAACAGAATCATGTGCGAGTGCAGACACCTAGTCTGTAATGGCAAAAGGTCTGTAAGACGTAACCACAGGTGGGAAAGATTGCTCTTACCAGTGGTTTGGCTAGAAGTGGTCACAGGTTGGGTAGGTCAGATACTAGAACTGCACTACATGTATCAAATCACACCGACTTATTTCAAAAGAAGAAAAAGAGATATACTTTGTAGCATGGTCCTGATTTACTGGCCATGAAAAGGTCCTGTTGGTATGACAGACAAGGACTCTAATATTTATAAGGAAGACAGAGCAAAGAGGGTGTGGGACACTGAGACAGACAGCAAGATACAAGGCATTGACTGCACTGACAGCCTCACCCATCATATGCCCCACTGACTATCCTCTTGTTGTCAAAGCGTATGCATCTCACCAACTCTTCATGGCCTTCCAGTACTCGTAAACACGCCCCACATTCAATATCCCACAGTCTGGAAGAGAGTACAAAGAAGCACTAAGAATTTTTGACTATTTGATCATTGCAACGAAACATCTGGTCTTTGCTCGTAGTTAATGGAAACTCGGAAATAAAGATTACACTGGAACAACAAAGAAGAAACAAACTACATTCATTTCTCCTCCTGCCGTTCAGCGGGTGCATGCTTTTCAGCATGACCCTGCTATGTTATGGTATCACACGGGAAATGAGTCAGAGATCCACAAATTTTAAGACCAGTTGTGTCTTAGTATCTTAGTATCAACTGCTCTAGTAACAGAGGAGATCTCCCAGTTATCTTCACAGTGAGCCTCATAACTTTATTATACTGAAGCTGATTTTTCATAAAAGTATCCTGCCTTGATTTTAAGACATCAAGACAGGGAGACTTACCAACCCCCTTGGCAGCTTGTTTCAATTGGTAAGATCAGCTTCACAGGGCACATGCCCCTTTCTGTACTCTCTGTGCCTATTTCTGATTTGAAGAGTACCTCACACAAATTAAGCTATCAATAAGTGGTGAAAGGTACGAGAATTAAAAAGCCCTTTTTACTTGTCATTTCTCCCACTGAAGGTATGCTTACTCTGTCATCTAGGCACCTTACGCATAAGCTAAAATGAGCACTCTATGTTTATTATTTTGCAACTCATCTTCTTCTTGCTCTCAAATAATTCCTGTGGCTCTCTGCTAACTGCTTCTAATAATCAAATATTTTACAAAGTTCTGGCACGAAAACAAGTACATAGCATTCCAGTAAGAGACTCAGCAATGCCTTATTCTCTGAACTGTAAATATCCCAGAATTTTGGGCATGGAGAATAAATTAAAACACATTAATTTTTACACTGACTCACTACCTTGAAAAATACTTAAGAAATGCTTGGAACAGTTATGAAGTAAGTCTATTTGCTTTCGGTACTTTTGACATTTCTTAGACATGAGCCTCAATTACTATGGATATAGAAAGCTTAATTGCCTACAAGAACTGAAATTCTTTGACCTATATTGTCTAGAAGTGTTTCACCTCTGGCTGAAGCATGCTCTGCTCATATAGGAATCTTTTAATAGCAGTATCTGCTGTGGCTCCCTGACATACAGCTGAAAGCAAGCACTCACAATGTTCTTAAATGCTCCTTCAATTAGTGTTCAGATTGACATGAACTTCACAGCAGTGAGAAATATGGGCAGTTTGTGGAATTTCTCTGGGTGACACATCTCGAAGCAGCACAGCTGCCAAAGGGTCAGGTCTCTCTGAGACAGAGATAAACTGTCCCCATATATTTTACTCCTGAGGTCCCCCAGGGAATAATCCAGACTCAGTGTATGTATGCCCAAGGCTGGTGTCCTGACACGACAAGCTGCTCTCACTTCGGACAACAGAAGAATGAATAGAACTGTCTTGTCACCACAGAACTGGGAAAGGATTTGTCTACGCAGATGTTTTAGGCCAATGAGGAATGCAAGGTGATTCTTCGATCTGTAGAGTTGATCTTTCATGAATCTGTGAAGATCCCAGTAGTTTTCACATGAGTACCCACACACCAGTCAAGGTCAGAGCAAGCAACTCCATGGCAAAGGTCAGTCAAGGGCACTCTGCCTGGTCAGAGTATTAAGTCTCTCAAGGAGTGTAATAAGATGGACAATGCCAGAAAAGAACTGGCACAGAAAGGTTTGAAGAGCAATTTTGTGCCAAGAACTTCCGTGCCATGTGCTTCCATTCCTTGCCATCAATCCTGAGACTGCCAGCAGCTCTGGGAGGCTGCACCACACCAATTCAGGCCTGCATTTTCAGGTCCCAGTTTGAGGTTCTACCTGAATCTGAACGGGATTATAAGAGATAATGATGTCCCTAGCCGTGTGGGGAATGGGCCTTCATGTACAAAAAGGGTAACTGCTATGTAATAGTAGAATCTCCTAGGAGAACTGGTGCCAAGAGTATCTCCCAGATTTGATAACCTTCTCAAATTTTTACTTCTTTAAATAGCCAAAGGACAAAAGAGTAAGAGACATACTCTTAAGGCTTGAAAATTAACTAAAAAGAAATTTGTTACAAAGTGTACGCAGTCAAAAACACTACCATTCTTCCTCCCTATAGCTTTGGGGGAACTTCTGGAAGTAGAGGGAGGTCTGAAATTATCACTCAAAGTCCCGAGAGAGCTGAAAGATGTACAGAAGGCAGATGAGTCTGAATTCCTGTCTCCTAGAGAGAATGTTGTTGTCTAAACAGTTCAGTACCAGATCCCCATGTGCGTACACATGGAAGGTTGAACACGTGCACACACATACACACACAAATCAACCACTTGCTTAAGAATTACACCAAGATGATGTAGTGTGATTCCATTTCCTTGCTCTAAAATATATTTTTTTTTCTTTTTCTTTCTTTCCGTACCATGCTTGTGTGTAGCAATTAAGAACTTTTGCTCTAGAGGCTAAGATACTGATGTGACTGGATTAAACTTAATGGACCAGTTTCTACTGGATAGAAATTGGCACAATGATAGCAATGCCCATGTAGATGTGTCCTCTTACACTGGTGAAATTTTTTGCCTAAACAAAAACCTAAATCATTTTCATATATGGAGTATCCCTACAGAAAAAAATATAACTGATTTCTCAGTTACTTCACTTGCCCTTACGTTTGCAGCTGCCAAACTAGAAATCACAAAGTCATCTTTTGGAAAAAAGTTTCCCTTCAATTGAGGAACAATGAATTTCCAAATTCTGTATCAGGAGACAGCCTCTACTAAAGGCCAACACACAACATCTGCCATTTTACAGCGGATTATAACCAAACATAAAAAGCACCAAGACACAAAGATAATTTAGTAATCTGCCCTTTCTTAATCATCCTTCCACACGCTTGTTCCCTCTGCTGGGAGAGAACGATGTGTCCAGGTAAGTCTTGTGTCTTGCCCACACAGCTGCCAAACTTGACTGCCATTAAGATTCACTGCCAACATTCCTGAAATTCTAGCACAATTTATCTGTCAAGTAGGGATTTTATCCAATGTAAGCATAAAAGTAACTGTATTCCTCTTTAGCATTATCACTATTTTGACATTTATTTTTATTAGCATTGCAAGTCATATTTTAGATCCTTCCCTAATTGCTGTAAAGTTTAACTATTTCCGACTCTGAAACTACGTTTCACAGTACAATTGCAAGCAGTTATTTTTTTCCTATTTGAAGAGCAGGAGTTCTCACCTACTGGTGCTACTCCTACACGAATATCTGTAACATTTTTTTCCCCTGATTAAGAGATAGAAGTTCCTGGTCATGCTCTCAGACAGCCCTATACTAAAATCTGGCACAATCAGTGATGTCAACCAAAGGACCACCATGTTCCTACAGAATGCAAAGCAAGGAGAGGCAGCGTGTTGCAAGCCAAGTCCGCACGCAAACAGTAGCACAAATCATTCTCACTGAGGAAAACTTATTACCGATATGCAAAGCAAAGTTTTTCTCCTCACACTGTCCAGCTTTCAAGTTTTATCAGAAGGCAGACAATTATTCAAAGCAACAACAAAAACAAGAGGGAGGTTGCTCTTACTCCTGCTTGCACAACAGGGCCATTTCCCTAGGCTGCATATACGACTATTCAAGCTCGCTCCGTACATCCCAAGATTAGTGGGACATCTCTATGTCAGCAGCTGCAGGATGTAGGGAGAAATCCTGGCTCATGATGCTAGAAGGAGTTAAATCTCAGATTGCAACCAGGGCAGCTGGAGGAGTGCAAAAGGCAGCAAACTGAACTTCATGCTCTAAGCCAGCTGTTCCAAACTTAACCAGGTGCCAAGAACCATAAGAAGAGTTTGGCCAGAGCCCAGGAGGATTTCTGCAGAGGATTAAATGCCTCTTACTGCAAATCTGACCCCTTTAACTAGACACATAGCCCAATTAAAATATCGCAAGAGGACATCACAGAAAGTGGTACTTGCCAGCTCTTTCATACACCGGAATTGTCAGAGCGATGCAACTTGTTGATTAGTATGGGACTCTTGAGATAGAGAGGATGAAAGACAACACAGTAAAACAGGCTTCTAATATCTCTTTCCAGTAGTTCCCAATGTTCTACACCAAAGAAAGTATATTTCAAAGACGACAATGGCACAGAGCATTTCGGTGGCCTAACCTCTGCACATCCCAGGGAATCAGAGACAACGTGCTTGCACAGAACTCTGCAATGGGGAATGTGTCTCTCACCTGATAGTATTATCTGAAGAGCCGCTCACTACTAGCCTGTCTCTGTACTGCAGACATGCAATGCCTCGTTTGTGGCCATTTAAGGTGCGCACAAATTCGCAGGTACTAGTGTTCCATACCTGTGACAGGAAGGGGGGAGGGAACCACACAGAGACAAAATTATTACGAAGAGACTAACAAAAGCTGGTATCTGACATATAGGTGCATCCAGAACGCTCTTAAATGAAGATGCTATAGTTAAGACTGGGAAAATTACTCCTCTGATGACTTGTGACTATAATCTGCTACTGTTAGCAGCTTGGGTCACTGTACATGGAAGATTTTTGCCCCACCATATGAGAATTAGCTTCCAAAATGAGGCTTTAGCACTCTTGGGCCATGACTGAGTCCACAGAGGATCCAGATTTTCCTTAGTTTTAATGATGCAGATTGGGATAACAGCAGTAACACTTAAGTGACTCCTAGCCACTCACCGTCACTTTTGCCCTCATGCTGCCTTCTGACAACCGAATGATTGATGCTGAAACAGATTATGGAAGTGGTCAAGTTGAAAAAAGAGGCAGGAAAAAAATTTCCTTTTTCAACTTCATCTGTACCTGGATTTGAATTGCCATACACCTCTGTAAACAAGTCGTGCAAGCTCAATAGACGAGGGACGAGTGGAAATGAGCAGCAGGAAGAACACTGCTTGTAAAGGAAGATCTGTGGAATAACTGCCAAGGACCATCTTCCCTGCCTGGTCACTGTTCTTGGTTATTAAATACCCCAGTGCTGCAAATTAAAAGCCTCTGAAACACCTCACCTTGATAGTTCTGTCACCTGACGCTGATACAATGTACTTGTCATCAAAGTCCACTACGTTGACAGCAGCTCGGTGCCCTACTAGCACCCTCCTCAGGGTGATGTCCGTTGGTGAAGCCATGTCCCACACGGCAATGGAACGGTCTTTGGAACACGTCACCATCATGCCGTTATTGAAGCGGAGGTGCAGCACCGCTTCGCAGTGGTGAATCAGCGTGTTCAGCATCTCGCCCGTGTTCACATCCCACACCCTGCAGTTTCAAATTTCAAACCAGAGAGCAGAGAGTTAAAAAAATGTTCGCTGGATTTTCTGTAGAGCAAGAGAAGGATAAGGAGAGGTAACTGACTCTCTAGCAATATTAGAGAAGCAAACTCCACAAGTTACATCTACATCTATTAAATAGTTCATTAAAGGATGTGTGATATAAACCTGTTGATTATGCATACATTGAGGCAGCCCAGCAGTCAAAAACCCTGCAATGCAGTTAACACCATAAAAATAACCCAGACAGGTAAAAAGCTTCTTTAATTTAAGGAATTTAGTGCCGAGGAAAGGTATGAGATTGATGGCCTCAAAGACTGATGTCTCCTGGTTATGTCAGCCTACCACACACTCCATTTCCAGTCAACGCGTACTTAATCATGACCTGTGGAGAAGCAAGTTCAGTGGCAGCTTTAATTTTTGACCTCTCCCACAGGACTATCAACTCAAAGGATAATTTACGCAGAAGCAGAAGACAAGATAATGAATGCTTTTCAAACAAATGTAACTAATTGCCACAAGTTGCACCATAAATCGCATTTATCCTGTAGTGTATCTGGTACACAGCCACATTCCAGGAATGTGCTGAATACCCAAATTAAACCAGACCATGTATGTCAATTTAATGTTACCAGAACCAGCTGTTTCAGCTGGAAAACAATTTACGATCCAAGTCAGGTAAAGGCTTCATACAGAACTTCTAGGACTTGAAGATGTCATGCCTTAAAAACGTTTATTTTAGGCTATTCTACTGGCAACCTTCTTCCACCCTCCATAAAGAGATTTCTTTTGGCACTATCACACCTGTATCCCAGATACACTGCATGAGAGCAGTAACCGGCTGTATCATCAGGCACATCAGACACTGCAGAAGTTAAAACTTTCCCCTACTAATAAGGCGAGCAGAGAGAAAAGACAAGATGTGAGAAAGGCTTCTAATGTCTTATTTTCTAACTTAGGGAGGCCAAAGTGCATCAACTTGCAGACCATAAGTAAGAAAGAAAACTACATTCCAATTACAAAACGCAAAGGAGAAAACCCCACAAACTAAAGACCTGAATTGTCAACACACGAGCAGTTTGCAGGCAGGGTTGCCAAAGTGAACAGGAGCTGGAGACCTACTGACTTCTTTGGACAAGTACATCCCTGAGATCTCAGAAGCATTAAGAGTCCATCTGTACTGTCTATTGGACGAAGCTGCTCTTCCTGAGGAGACCCAAGGATAAGAGTGATGCATCCTAAGTGCCTCTGGGGTCTGCACAAACATTTATAGATACAGTGGGAGACGAAGTGTTTCTGGGCAAGTAGCCAGTCTGCAATTTGGCCGGCCTGGCCTGGTACGGAAGACGATAGCACTTGTTACAGAAATCAGCCTCTCCTTTTGCGAACTGTTTAGCACAGTGCCGTTCCCACACCTTCCCCAGGCAGGCAGTGTTGCTGAAATTCTGGATTCCTGCTAATGACAGGACCCCAACATCCAGCAGCACCACAAGATTGCATGCATCACATGTCAGGAACTAAATTTAATGGTTATTAGCTTAACAGTGGTAGTTTACATGCAAGGACGGCGGTAACTACGAGGAGCTTGCAGCCATAGGAACACACGCTAATAGCTTCAGAAAAGGCCACTGACTTTTTGTTGTCTGTAACTCCACTGCACGGGCAGTCTGTACCGTGACAAGAAGAGAATATATAACAACGTGGAGAAGACAGACTCGCTCCTTCACATACAAGTTCATATGTGCCTGCATTTACATCACCAGTCTTAGACTCTTTGGGATTCTGTAACATTTGCACAACATGCACCACAAGCACTGACTTGACATATCCAGTCTTCTGCTGGAGACTGGAAGGAATGCAAGGTTAGAAAGATTTAATGAAAAGAAACATCATGCTGAAATTTAAAGTCACAAGAGATCCAGTTCCACATATTTTGTTAAAATTAAGTGATAATGGATGACAAAACCTTCAAACTTGCTTTGAAAACTTCAATTAACTTTAAAAAAGTTATTCTCAGAGAGAATTTAAAACATTCTCAGGGAGTGTCAAAACATGCAAAACCTTGGTGAAATGCCAGATGGCCTTCCTAAGTCATCTTGACCTTGACTGGCCTTTGCTTAGGTTCTCATTTCATCTTGACAGCCATTTGTATGGACATCTGATAAACAAGGACAGCACACTCCTGAACAGATATGCTGAACTACTTCATGGAACCAATTGAAAAGCACACATTTAAGAAAAGATCATTTTAGCAGCTTGCAAGGCTAAAATCTTCAAGGCGAACAGAAAGCTCCAAATCACGAGCACACACCTGACTGTTGAGTCTGAAGATCCAGTAATGATCACCCGTTCGTCGTACTGGAGGCACAGGACAGAACCCGTGTGTCCGGTGAGAATTCGCTTGCATTCCAATGTATTCTTATCCCAGATCTAAGATAGCAAACATTCAAAACCAGACAGCTCAGTGCAGTTTCCACCTTTCACCACTTAGTGGTTTGACCAGCCTGCTTTTTACTCTAACACATCATCCACAGTGCAGTTAGAACATCTTTAGTGGCATGTGCAGAGTCTTTTTGGTGCAATAGATTAACATCTTCGATATTGCTGACTTTACCATGAATACTGGTTTTACTCTTCTCATCAGGGGACAGTCTAGGTAGTCTGTAATTACTGACGGACAAAGGCTTTGCCAGTGAAGTCTGTTTGTAAGAAAACAGGGTCTCTCTTGCCAGACTAAAGAGGCATACAAGCTGTGCAGGTGTGAGGTAGAGGAAAGAGAAAGCTAGGATACTAACAAGAGATTGAGCAAGTGTTACTGAAATTAGGACATTATTATTTGTGGCATAAATATGCCATTTTTGAGAATTCTCACCTTAATAGTATTGTCTCGTAGGCCACTTACTATCTTCTGATCATCATACTGTAAACAATAAACCCCTTTGCTTGTCTCACTTCGGCAGTGGATCCTCTGTAAACTGTGCCTTCCACACCGCCAGTTTGACTCTATTGTCTTGAGGAGAGACAGGAGACAAAAGTAAAAATAAAGCATGGAACTATCTTCCCCTTTTTGTTTGTTTAAGAGGACAGCAGATACTTTTCTTCCTGCTTTTTTCCTGCAGTCAGGCCCATACAGTGACATAACTGCTTTCTAGAAGTAACACATGTAAAAAAACAATTAAACAGAGAAAAGCCTGGAAAACATACGGTGGCTAAATCCGTCTGTATGTGGAATGGTAAGGGAGAAGTGACCTGAAAGCTTTTGCCAGTCTCCAACCTCTAACTCCCTGTGACTCAAGGACTAAACAACTCTAGCTGAGTGCTTGTGTAAGCTTGTCACAACAGTGCCTGAGCACCACTTTTGCCGTTAGGAAATTACCAGAACATGGCATCTTGCTCACACCGGATACAAGAAAACTATGCTCAGTTGTTTGGCTGGGTCTTAGGATTGCAGTCTCTAGCCACGCACTTTCTCCCTGGCTCAGCTCCTGATCACTGCCCATAACATCTTTTTAGGTCTCACCTGCACTGGGTGGAGCAAAGTACTATGGAACAGAGCAAATCAAGACGGTAGAGTGACACAATGACATCTATCTGTACAGAGCTCACTGAAAAATCCTACTCATCCTCTACCTAAAGGAGCAGCAAAGCCTGGGACCTTATACAACTATCCCAGATCTACAAAATCCAGGCAAACACAGACACATCAGATTCAATGAACTATTTCATCAGAACAAAACATTGGCAGAATTTCCGCACCAAGAATAGGTCAGGAAGACCTAAAAAAGAAAAATAACCAAACACCAACACATCTGGAAGCTGTTTCTTACCTCTATGTCCTGTATAATTTTGGGGTAAAGTGCTCTGTAGAAGGAGTTGGGTGGTGCAGTTCCATCAGGAGGTTTATTTTTAAATAGATATTGTCCCCTGGAAGACAAAGAACACTCTCACTGAACACAAATCATGTTTCAGCATTTTGGAGAAGGGTCCTCCTGACTTTTTACAAGTGGGTAACCACTTTTGAAAAGCACACACAGATTCATACTCAAACTTAATTTACTTAGTAAGATAGAGTGTTTCCTTGTTTGTTTGCCCTGCAACATGTTAGTGTTATGTTTTGACACTGAAATACTAATGAAAAATCTATGCCTAGTTACTCAGAGAAGGGAAATATATTATCTACTATGGACAGGAGCCGTTCAATTCAATAGAAGGTGAGAAAGGCTCATGCCAACAGTACACATACCTGGCCACCCTACACAATCAGGTCACCCTTAAAATAAAGTGTACATAGAAAATGAAAGAAGCCAAGGAACCCTCAAAGTCACTATGCTAGTTTTTATCTGCATTAGCAGGAACAGTATTCGGTTTTGGTACACGGATATTTTACTGAAACCAGTATATTTTGGTAAGCAACACTTCATCTGTGATGCCTCCCTCATTTCAACACCAATTTGGAATACTCATATCCCAAGCTAGATTTTTGCTACAAAAAAATTCTGTAAATGGCAATCACTACCTGCTGTGTAAAAAACTTTAATTCCTCATCCTGAAGTTAAGAAGCCACCAAACACGGTGTGGAAGCTAGTAAACCCCACCATGGGCGTACTAACTGCTGTTCTGCCTGGCAACATGCCTCACAGAATGGAGAAAGGCACAAATGCCTCCGAGTGTAATCCTGGCATCAAAGGCACAGAGTTTACACCGGGCCAGCTCTTCACTTCTCCCTCTCTTGCTCCATTATGGCATAATTAATTGCTCAATACTTCGTTGCGCATTTCTTTTTTGTCCTTTCCAAACAGTATACCTTGAAACCCATTTGAGAGACTGTACATTATCTGTCCCAATGTACTTGAACTCAGGAAATCACAACAAACTGAAATTTTTAGGTTATAAGTCAGTATGAAACTATAGCACTGAATAAACAAAATAACAAAATGCTCAAGAGAAGAACTTTTGATAATTCTTTAAATAAATTACTTTAAGTACAGCTTGAGAGAAAGGTGCTTTCCACTTTGGACAGAGAAATGGTGTGGGTTTTCAAATACAGTGACCAGCAGCCACTCATGCAGACGAACACACATGAAGAATCGACACATGGATGCAGGGAAACCACTAACTAGATGGCTGCCTATTTACTGTGATCCAACCTGGAAGTGCATACAAGAAATCTAAAATTATTGGCCCTGGGAAACAAAAATGCTTTGAAGATCAACAAAATAGCTAGGACACATCCTAGAAAACTTGGGGTAGGTCTGTGACACTCTGTACACAAGCCTCTGTGCCTGACAACCTGCCTACTGTTTCCAACACTAGCAGCTGACATAATACAAGGCCTTGTTGCTACCTATACGTGCTGCCTTGCTGCATGTAGAGTCAGTTGTTTAGAGTTCACTTAAAGGATTGCTTGGAATTTCCACAGCACCCCAGTGGCTGTTGTGCTGTTGCTCTGGAATAGAAAGGAACTATTGTTTGCATGTTTTGACTACTGGCCAATTCAATCAAGTATTCAGATGGGCACCATCATGCCCAGATTCTTGGACTTCTGTTTTATATTTCTCTAAATCCGCGTAACCCTTGCTGCTCCCTGACAAGTTGTCAGTGCGGGCTACTGTCCTGTGGAACTGGGTGTTTCTGTTGTAAACCACGATCTGCAAATGCTGAATTCAGGGAGCCCAGGCAAAGTGAGGAGCTGTAAGCAAATAACACTAACAGCACCTATCTATCTATAACACTAACAGCATCTATCCTTCTGAGCTGTCCAGTTAGTCGCCTCCTTGTGCCATGCACAGCGTCACGCCTGACTACAAGCTATAAAGCTCTATACGGCAGGGATGCAATTACATGGGATATTTCTTGTCTGATTCTCTTAACCATCTAACCATGCCTACAGTTTTACCTTCTAGAGCTAATCAGAGGGCAATCTGAACAACATAGCACAACTGGCTCCTGTTGTGTTAAAGCAACCTCCAGGACACAGTGTAAACCTGAAGAAGAGGTGCAGTACCGGGGCATGACTGCCCTTTGAGAGGAGAAGCAGGATTTTGCAACTGCTTTTTAGAAATGTCATGAGTCTATATGACTAGTAATCGGTTCTAATGTTATTTCTAAAATCTGGAGGGAGCAACATGAGAACTATCAGCTATGATCTCTGAGAAGACATATAGAACAGATAAAGTTTCACAGAAGAGGAAAAGACACATGTAGCTCTTGCATTTTAAAAAAGGGAAGAAGGTCCACCAAGGAAATAGTGACCTGTCCAACTCAACTTTGACAACTTCGCAGTTCTAGACCATGCAGTCAATCAGATGAGGGCCTAGAAGAGGACAAGGTGATAAACAACAGGTAACACTGATCAATCCAGAATATATCATGTCAAACTTCCAACACCTGAAGGGAACCTACAAGAAGGCTGGAGAGGGACTTTTTACAAGAATGCCTGCCTCATGGAAGGTTTAGGTTGGATTTCATGAAACACTTCCTCACGGAGAGGGTGCTCAGGCACTGGGATGCACTGCCCAGGGAAGTGGTGGAGTCACCGTCCCTGGAGGTGTTTAAGGAGAGGCTGGATGTGGCACTGGTTGTGATGGTGTTACAGGCTGGACTTGATGATCTCAGAGGTCTTTTCCAGCCTGAACAATTCTTTGATTCTGTGATAGGACAAGGGGAAATGGATTTAAATTGAAGGATAATAGGTCTAGATTGGATCTTAGGAAGAAATTCTTCAGTATGTGGGTAGCAAGACTCGGGAATAAATTGCTAAGAGAAGTTGTGGATGCCCCCGCCCTGGAGATGTTCAAGGCCAGGTTGGATGAGGCCTTGAGCAACCTGGTCTAGTTGAAAGGCGTCCCTGTTGATGGCAGGGGTGTTGGACTAGATCATCTCTAAGGTGCCTTCCAACCTAAGCTATTCTATGGTTCTATGAAGTTGACATAATTTCTTCTCACAGGCTATTCTCACGACTTAACAAGGGAAGTATGGTCTTGGCAGAGCTCATGGGTGGACACACAAATGGCTGGAAAGCAGAGTTTATTGATGCTGGACTGTCAAACAGGATGGCAACTGAGATCTTGCATGGCATCTGTCCTAAATATGTAATTATTGAGCATTTTCATTAATAATAAAGAATGGAACAGTGAGCACATTTATGATGTGGCCAATGATATTAAAGCTGGTAGAAGCTACAAGCATTTTGGAGGACAAAATTAAACTTGTAATGCTCCTGACAAAATGGAGAAATACCAAACAATAAGCAGAATCTAATTCGATAAAGACAAGTGCTGATTTCACCACTGAATAACACCATAAGCATGCAAGATGAGGAATAATGTCTAAGCAGAACTTCCATAGGAAGGGTAAATAATCTTATATAACAGTATTAGAATCATAGAGTGTTCGAGGTTGGAAGGGACCTCTAGAGATCATCTAGTCCAGCCTCCCTGCCAGAGCAGGATCCCCTACAGCAGGTCACACAGGAACGCGTCCAGACGGGGTTTGAAAGTCTCCAGAGAAGACTCCACAACCTCCCTGGGCAGCCTGTGCCAGTGCTCTGTCACCCTCACAGTGAAAAAGTTTTTCCTCATGTTGAGCTGAAACTTCCTATGTTCTAACTTAAACCCACTAATTCTTGTTCTTTTGCTGGGCACCACTGAGAAGAGATTGTCTCCTTCCTCTTGACACCCACCCCTCAGACATCCATATACGTTAATAAGATCCCCTCTCAGCCATCTCCTTTCAAGGCTGAACAGACCCAGTTCTCTCAGTCTCTCTTCATAGGAGAGATGTTCAAGTCCCTTAATCATCCTCGTAGCAATCTGTTGGACTCTCTCCAGTAGGTCCCTGTCTCTCTTGAACTGGGGAGCCCAAAACTGGACACAGTATTCCAGGTGGGGTCTCACCAGGGCAGAGTAGAGGGGGAGGAGAACTTCCCTAGACCTGCTGGACACACTTTTCTTAATGCACCCCAGGATCCCATTGGCCCTCTTGGCCACAAGGGCACATTGCTGTCCCATGGACAACTCACTGTCTGCTAGGACTCCAAGGTCTTTCTCCATGGGGCTGCTTTCCAGCAGGACGTCCTCTAATCTGTACTGGGCCTGTACCGGTGTACCACTGTTACAGAAAAGGACAAGTTCTGCTGGAAACCTTAATGAGCAGTATCCTCCAAACAGCATGCAAAGCAATGCTTCCCACACCTCCAAACTCTGGCGGTGCCTTGGCAGAAGTAAGAGACCCAGCTGACGCCAGCCTCTGAGAACGGAGCAGAGCAACTGGGGAAGGTCTAAACAGACCAACCCAAGAATGACAAGAGGACAGGACAACATAGGATTATGGTTGGTTAGTACTGTAAGAAACATGATTGTCTTCTACTGTAAAAAGGAGAACGAGAAACTGTCCTGTGTGTCTGTAAAGGCTAATATTTAACACGCTGAACTGTAGCTGAGAAGACAGCCTGGATTTTAGGAAAATCTTTCTAATACTGAAGCTAGTGAAACAGCAGAAGTCCTTGCCCAGGCAAGGCCTAGGGAATCTCCATCAGTGAAAACTTTTAAGAACACATTTGACAAAGATCTGGGATGACTTAAGATAAACCTGGCGCTGCCTCTGGGAAATAGGAAGGACTAAATAACGGGAGGGACTAAATAACCTCTCAAGGCCATCTGACTTACTGTGACCTCAACAATACAGAGCAAAAATAAAAGTCCTGGAGAGAATAAGGCACAAATAGGAATGCAAAAGTTAGCACTGCCATGCTTGCATTTATTTTACACTCTTTATAAACATTACACTATTGGAAGCAGATCAAAATAGCACTTATTTTTAAAGATTGTTTCACAATCCTGATTTACTCATCTTAACTTCCTGAGACAAACTTCCTGAGACAAACAGTATAACAAAATCAACCATAAAACAGGAGTTTTTGTTTGCAACTCTGTACCTTTTTCTTTTTAATAGCAACCAAAATGCCTGAGCTGTCACTTTCATCTTGTTTATGAAATATTCATACCCAGCTTCCTTTCTGCCAACATCCTAGGGACACCCTTGGAAAAGAAAACTATGTATTAAAGGACATACCCCTGAGAGGGAAAGTTCTAATGAAATGTTAACAGAGCAGCTTCAAACTTGAGTGAGACCCATGTTCTAGTAAGGCTATTCCAGATGATTATTAACTAATCTATCTGCATTTCCAAAGTCCCCTATTCTCTGTGGTACCTACCCTCAGCTTCCAGTTTGAAAATTAAACAGATATCTAATAGTGAAAATCTGCTGAGGAAAACAAACAGACCTATCAGGAAACAACTAATTCATAGCACATGCTGCCCCATTGCCCCATTGCCACCCCTAAAAAAGCTCTTCTCTGAACTGCTGACTAGTTTAGGGTTCCCCTGGGGTACGCACAGCTTCTTAATTTGAATCGAATGACAGGCGGGTGTAAAAATCTCAAGTCTGTATATCTTGCTTGTCACAGTGGTATAAGAGCATGATCTGATGAAGAACCTAAAGAGAAAGCCCCCACTTTGCATTCACAGCCAAATGCTGCCCTAACTCTCCAAACCACTGAATTTTCTCTTAAGCAACTGTCAGGTTTGGAACCGACATGATGTTTCAGAGTGCTAAATACACCTCATCAAACACAGTTTGAAACACACAGCACCTACTGTCCTGAATGGGGGAAAAATAGGTGGAAATGCAGTTTCCTCACCATCCCCTCCTCTCTGACAACCCCCTCCACAGGGAGTCTGTCCTGACCATTCTCTCGATGAGCTTCTTCCACAGCATTCCGTCTGACGTCACCCGGTACCACTCCTTGCACACCAGCTCAGCTGCACACAACGATTTGGCATCCAGGTATGACAGAATGTTCTCAGCGATGTGATCCAATCCCCGAGCTGAGGGACAAAAAAAAAAAGGAAAAAAGAAAAGATTATTTGCGGGGGAGACGCGGAGTTTAAAACAACTCCCCTTGCTAGTACAAAGATACCCTCTCTTTCCATCTCCTCTTCTGCATGCAGAGCTGGACCAAATGCACAGAAGAACATTTGCAGCTAAGTTCAGGAGTGAACAGTATTCTCCAACTTCCTTTGGATATAACACAACAAGTCATTAAAAATAATAAAGAATCCAAGAAGTCATTCCAATCTATTTCGATGGGTTTTAGCACTAGGGGGATATTCTATGGATGGCATTTCCAACTCAGCGACGCAGCCCCCAAAATCTCTCTATATTAGGACCATTTCTCATCTCACTGCTACAGCTGTTCTCATGTTCCAAAGGCTCAAAAGCTGTTTTTGCTAAAGCAGTAGCTTTTAAACGTAATGAAGAAAAAAATATATATTCCCAATGTGTGCCCTGAAGGGTAGTGGTACCTTTAGACATGGGGGAGGGAAAGATATGCAGATGCACAGGGAAGTCGAGAGGGAAGGAGAGGCTGCATGAAGAGAAAGTGAAGCAGGTTTGCTCATTTCCTTAATTTTAGTGGGTGGAGGAAAAACGTACCAAGATGGTATAATTTGCAAATAGTTTCCAGTGTGAATACCAGGACTGGCTTTGTTTCAATATATCTGGAGTGAAATAGAAAGCAATTGACTGGTCAGCACCAAGTAGCCCAACGTAACGTCCATGTATCAGGGAGCTAGGGAAGGTTATGATAGATTTCTTAACCAGATAGATGTACTCAGTAAAAACGTGTCCTCACCCACTCAAATTTAATCACCAGCAAGACCTCAGGAAAATAAAATGCCTTTTAAATGAGATGTTGCATGAATACAGCTTCTCTTGGAGGCTGTTTAATTCACAAGTGAGACACACCATCAAGAGATGATCTCACTTCACCGGTCAAATTTCAGAGGCTTTGTGAAAGTTGTACTTTAGACCTCATCATCCGTCAGGCATATTGTCCAGACCAACGAAACAGGAAGCACAGCAGATTGCTATTACACGCATCTTCCCTCTGGTTTACATGTGGGACACAGTTAAATACATCTTTTCTTGCTTTTAAAGCAAAGACCAGGCCTCGCTTGTGACAGAGTAGCAAGTCCATTTCTACAGTCACACGTCCACACGCCTGCAAACTGAAATTAGCTGATTCTAATTAGAGTTCATAAGACACAAAAAGGCCCAACCTTTGTTTTGTTAACTGAAAGATCTCAAAATCATCCCCCAGTGCAGGAGAATGAGAAAATTCAGCATGTCTCCTCTCGCTCCTTTCAAACATCCTAAATTTATAACACACTTTGGATGAGACGTTCTGTCCAGCGTTTTATGCTTCCATTCACACGTAGAAAAAGCATGTGAATGATACCATGCACAAAGAGTGTAGAAAGAGGTCTGACATTTCTTATCTTTATAGATGCAAAATTAGATGTCAACCTGCAAAATAAAACCATCAGCAGCCTTTATTATGTATTTAATCTGAAAAGATATATACAGTCACTACATAAAGACTCTTTTTTAAAAAAAAAAGATAAAAAAAGCGTTAGTAAATTTAGATTGACGCTACAGCAATTCGTGGAAAGAGAGAGTCAGTATTTTAGTGAACGTGAACTGGAATTTGGAGGAATTCTGCAGTTTGGTAGGGCAAACATGGACATCGTGCCCCCCTGATTCCCCATCGTGACACCTGCAGCCTTCAACTATCTCCACTGAGTAGAAACAGCAAACACCTGCCTGTGTCATATCTATACCAGTGGGTTTATGTCAGCAGCATCACTGCAAGAAATTATTTTATATGGGCTATCATTGGTGGCTGTAGGAAGCAGGGCTACACTGCATAAACTGGGTAAAACACTTTGAATCTTGCTGCAATGAGGTGTTGCAAGTACTTCTATGAGCGTAAGTCATCCTTTGCCATCGATCCTAGACCTTTTGCAGGGAAGGAATACTGATGTTTTGGCCTTTCCTTCTCACATTTATGATAAGTAGATAAGCAGAGCTACTCTGGCCTGACTGCAAATTCAAATTTATTATTTTGTTCCTTAGGAACAGCGCAACTCACCAAGACACATAGCTAACAAAGCATCGCTCCCTTAAAAAAGAGAAATCTCTGCTCACAGAAGTGTTTGCTAAATCGATGTGAAACATGATTAGCCCTTCAGCCCTGCATACCAGCCAGAATGTCTCAGTTATTTCACACATGAAACCCTTACAAAAATGACTTCGCTCATAAAAAATGTTAAACAGCTTGGAAATGTTAAGCAGAGACCTTATTTTTCAGAAACACAACAAAGTTTCTTAAGTACACCATTAGGATGTATTTTTCAAACAACTTAATTCTCTTCCAATTACTAGGAAAATAACCTGAGTCAATTTTACTCTGTATTAGTAAAACATACTCATGATCTAAAACTACGTTTAATTCTAGTCATTCTTTGGACAGTGTTAGGAGGACAGAGATGAGATGCCTCATGATTTTGAAGTAGCTTTATTGTTTTATTGACTCAAGGGGGAGAGCAGGGGAGAAAATGAAGGAGGAAAAATGAAAGCAGAATACTGGACACTGTGAGAATTTCCAAAAGCTAAAAAATATTTGAAGAGTTTAGCTTTGTTTATTATGAGGCTTAATTTAAAATTTTAGGTTCATCCCTCTTTCCTAGACAATTTCTTACCTTCCCCTTTTCCATCGCCTTCATGAGAACCCTGCCTGTACTCAGGACATCCTGCACAGACTGCAGAGTCTGCACCAGCATCTTGCCATTAGGTTTCTCCCTTAGAGCTAAACTCACTAGGACTTTGCAAATATGCAAATTGATGCACATACATTAATTAAGCAAACAGTTCCCACAACTGTTCAGACACTCGCATATTAGCTGCCTATCTGCTCGGCATCCTGAGATAATAAAATTAGATGCTTCCTGGGTAACTGTGAAAAGACCACTAACAAACGTGGCTAGGAAATTCTGAATGCTTCTGAAAATATTTGCAACATTTGCCCAATTTTTTAGAAAAAGGCCTGTAGGATGATGTACAAATGAGATGCTGGCTTGCTTTGATGGAGTTTCGTGGAGCACGACCCGGAAAAATTGTGTATGTAACTATATGTATACTTCCACTTTAAAAGTGGGGAAACCAACACACTTGTAAAATACTATTTATTTTTCTGAAACAGAACAGCTCCACAAGTTATAATGCTGCTCTAACTACACGAGATTACTGCCATTGGACTATTAAAAACTAACATGAAGCAGGTACTTAGCATAACTAAGATTATTATTTTTTTTTAATGCTGCAACAGTCATTTGATTACTGGGCACAATGAGCTTAAAAATCCAGTGAGTCTACACATTTAACTTCATAGCAAAACTCCCGCAGTGCCTTTATGCTTCGTACAATTCACAGTTAAACATGTTTTTTTTCTACCTTTTAACCCTAGAATTTAAATTTCATGTTGAAAAATCCCTTCTAAAGAATAATCAATTGACTGGATTGAACAAATTGCTGGAGTTCAGCAGTTCTCCAAAGCTATTCGCAGAATCAGCTTTTGGCAAGAAACTCTTCTCTTCAACTAGTTCTTTAGAGACACCACCTGTAGCACTTCTTGCTCAGGTCCATCTCAAACTAAGGACCTATGCCAAAGGAATGGATATCTATCTACCAACACACAATTTAATGGTCTGAAAAAAAGACAAAAAACCCAGGAATTTGTTTGTTCTGAAACTCTGTTGCTGTATCTATTTTACCTCCTGCTGCCTCAGTTTTCTGATCAAGGTCAATACAAAACACACTACTTCATGTGTGCATTCTGAGAGGTACACCCAATGCCACATCTGAGAACAGCTGGATAATATTCTCAATGGAGAGCACTACAGAGGTGCAAAAAAGAGATCATTTCCATCCTTGGATCTTATGTCCTCCATTCTCTATTAGTAATAAACACATAATTAAAGTGGTGGCTTCCAGAAGGTATTTTACTAGGAAAGAGAGAAAAAAAAAATCCAAGAAAGAAAAAGGAAAACCTCAACCGAGCAACCAGAAAGAGTAGCAGTTTTAATTCTTAAAATTTTCATTATTCATGCATTGTTGTGGGCACGATGAGCACCACTACCTGCCCTGTGGCTTGCGATACATATACGACCTCTCATTTACTCCTAGCCAAACCACACTTGCATTAGATAGCACCTCGAGAGACGGTATGAATACAAGACCAAACGTTACTACATTTCACACTGGTAGAGAGCTTTCCACTCGAATTTATCACCTATTTTGCAAACTGACCCTAGAGCAAACCTCTCCAGCAGGGTAGGCCAGAGCAGATCAGCTTCCTGAAAGACAAGACAGAGGAGCAAGCTCGCTCTGCTTGCAGCAGTACCTGGCAGTGCCGTGATGAAGTCCCGCTGTAACATGGGTTTGAGGTACGAGTTTATATGTCCGTGCTGGTAGTGACACATCTGGGAGATGAGGTGCTCCACAAACTCCACCTGGTCAGACTCAGACCACTGTTCAAAATACTTGACGCAGAGCTCCTTCTCCTTCTCATAGCTCGCAGACAGTTTTCGTTGCTTGGGCACAATCATACTGGAAGTGCCATTGGCAAGTTTTGTCTGGAAACAGGAAGGAGAGAAACAACTCAAATCACATATGAAAAGAAGCTTGAGAGGTTTCATAATTTTTTATAAGGAAGAAAACAGGAGGAAAAAAGCACTCTGGCACATAAAGTTGGCTGAGACCACGCACCCCGTCTGGTGCCATCGATGGGAGCGCAGCCCCCACGAGCTGTGGCCCCTGCAGGACAACGCACACAAAGGATTCTGCTTACATGGGAAACCTTGAGCAGTAGTTTAACACAAACACAATTTTATTTACATCGTCCGGACAGTAAAATGCATGTAGATTCCTAATCTACAGTTACCAGTTACTTCAGAAAACTGCATTTGTATTCCTTTTTTTTTGTTTTCCCTAAAATGCATAGGGAATGCACGAAATAGATGAGAAAAAAAATAATCACAGAATTGTAGAATCAATTGACACTACTTCTCTGAGTATCAAATTATACCTTGAGAGCAAAGCCAGCTAAAACACACCTTGATATCTGGCACATAGAAAATTTTTAACTTCCGGAGCACTGCTAGTGCCAGAAGGACTCAGCTCAAAGAAGAGTTTCAGGGGCAGAACAAAGCACTGACATTTCAATTTACTACCTGATAGTCACATATAATTTCTGCTTTCTAAATGATTTAGCTGGAAGAAACGTGCACATTTTGCACTGCGTTGTTCAAATAAGATGAACTGTTTGCTAGGAAATTATTTTTCCCATACTGGTCAAATAATTTGTATTACATGCTGCAAATGGGTGATTTTCTCACTTTCATTGCAATGGTTTAACACCAGAGAGCATTATAACAACAGCTGATATTATTACATTGCTTTTTATTTAAAAAATACATTTAGATGTTGTCTATTAATCATCAAATAATTAAAGCAGGTATTATAGATTAATTACTTAAATTTAAATTAATTAAACCAAAATTACAGATGTCAGAATATATTAAAAAACTGATGTAAGAATGCCATATTTCTGCTCTCTGACAATAATTCCAGGCATCAACCTCACCAGACTTTATAAATCTCTGCAAAAATATCTAATGATCTAAAAGAAATGCATCTATTAACTGATTTTACAGGAAAAGACCAAAAAGAAAACACAACAAAAAAGTCCTTTTTCAGCAAGTGTCATAACAGAGGGTTATTTAGACACCACAAAATCTAGTTACCAAAACTGAGTTTGGAATGCAGGAATTTCTCATTTCTTGGGAGTAAGTAATTCCTGTACTTCAATATCCCCTCAGCCCCGACAGCAATCCTGACTTTGAAACACCAAAACCCTCACGATTTGAAAATCTACTCAACTGAGCACTCTGTACATTTCATTTTCTAGAGAAAATCCACCTAAATGCTCTTTTCAGCATTTCCAGCAGAGCTGGACAGACTTCCCTCTGGTAGAAAAATATAGTAATTAGCTGTTCTTTTTAACGAATGATTTCTTCTGTTTCTCAATCAGGGTTTGACTTAAGTTTCTTTGGGAACACAGATCATGGAGACAACACCATCGCTGTTAAATTCTGCAGCTCAATCTTTTCAGCTTTACTTTCATCCCCACCTCCTCCTTGCAAATTTCTGCGTGTGTTCAGTCAGATCACATGAGACAAGGGCTATGACTGAGCTACGCTTTCATTTCGTTGTCACATGGATAGCACTGAGCAGCAGGAAAAGAAACACTCTTTTGGGCCAACTTTTTATATAGGGAAATCCCTAAAGGGACTGTGGGCATGAAGCACCAGGTGAGAAAGGCTGGACTTTCCCCAGTAAAGTCCACAGTAGGCAACAGGCTGGCAAAAAATGATTACCAATGTACCGCACTGAGCACCGGTCTGAAGGGATTCTGGCGACTTTTGCTGCAGTTAAGTCACCCGTAAAAATGCTGGATTAAGACAGTGGAGAAATGCTGCATTGTACAAGCTTGATCTCATTTGATTTCTCATCCTGTTTGCTGTGCATCTCACAACAGGCATTTTTTTTAAAAAACCTATACCTCTGCCTTTTAATTTGAGAGATGGTGAAGTCTGACTAATACGTTGAGCTGGAGTGGAGTAGATGGTTGACATGCAAAGAGCACAAAAGAGGCAACTCCTTTCATGGGGTGGCACCACATTTTGGCCTTTCTTGCCTCCTGAGCATCCTTCTTCCAGCAGCCTTCAGCTCCCGAATTGCCTCTAAAACATCGCTTTGGGGTATCAAACAGAAGTTGCAACATCTGCAAAAACAAGTAATGACTTACGTGTGTACAAACAGATGGCTTAGATGGGACAAAACAACCCATTTTGCCTGGATCCCAAGTGAATACAGGCCTCTTGGGTGGGAATAACGAGTAAATTAGAGTCTGTTGACCAACACTTGCAATAGCTCCGCAAGTTGAACTTCAGGTCTATATCGTGGATCTGCTACGAAAAGCAGTACACATATTACAGTGTTTATGTCCATATTAGTGGACAGGGGACACTACATTTTTTAAGTTCACGTGCATGCCTCAGCCACATTCTGACAATGTTAATGGAGACTTGGTTTGCACCCTTGCCCGCTTCGGTTTCGCATCCAAAGGAGTGAGGACATGCCCAGAGGTAGCCATGGCGTGCCCAGAAGGTCCTGTGGCCTGTGCAAGCAGGGGAGCAAGTACAGGGAAAGCCACAAACAGAGCAGTTCTGCAGAGCAGAGACAAACACCTTCCCAGGGCTCCCAAATCACTCGACTGCAATACATGCTCATGTGCCTCCCCCAGATGGTCTGTAGCTACAAAATTTCAGAATTTCAATTTGAAGGTTCCTAAAAATCCACTGGGGGTTCAGTGAAAAAGGCCTGTTATTAAAAAAAGCCAACTACAAAACAACAACATCAAGTATCGGTATTATTAAAGTCTTGTGGAGGAAGGGTGGCTGCTATTAGTAGGAGAATTGATTTGACTTCCTAAGAAACCCTGATGACTCCATCATTCTGATCAACTGCCTCAAGTTCATGACGAACCACCTCAGGACAGTATCAGCAGCTATTTTCTGGAGCACACACAGTCGTCTACAACCTCTTCCCTCGCCTGGTACAATAACTAGGCCTTCCCTGAAAAAAAAAACACAATGAAAAACCTGCCCTACAGGCCATTCATACCACCAGGGTAAATATCCATCCAAACACACTGTATATGGTCATGCTTTTTATAAGCTTCACTTCCAGAAGTGGTGAAGAATAATAAGCGTTACTGGTCCATCACCTGGGAGGAAGCGTGAGCGTAACAGTGCAACCCAGCAACATGGAACAGATAAGGCTTTTCAGACCCCCTTTTCCAAAACCCTGGTAAGTGAGGGCTGAGAGCTGCCCCAGCCAGCTACAGGCACAACAACTCATCTGTAGGCACAGGAGGGGTGTCCTCCCACCGCCGCGTGCCTGAGCTAGCAAGCTGTGCCAGGAAACCCAGGGGACTGAGTGCCTCAGGTTGGTACGAGCTCAGGGATCTACGTACTATGCTCCATTGCAGCCCATAATTACAAGACCGTTTCTCCAAATGGCTACGCTTAACACAAAGCACATTTGTATGCCCAGTGAAGTAGAAGAGGACTAATATATGAAAAGGCTTTAATCTAAATAATGGCTTGCAACTATAGGAAGGTGCAATATTTCAACACAGATAAATAAAGCCTGGATAAATCTACTGCTCTGCGCATAAAACAAAAGAGCCATGGTATATCACAGCTGTAACCCATATATGACAACCAAAGCTACTTTTGTTTTTGTTCAGTACAGGGGATTGAGGAGCCTTCTAAAGCATAGCAAAATAGACACAAGCACAGTTCTCTTTCAGTATAGGTACAGTGCTTCCACACCCACATGAGTGGTCAGGACTTTACTAGCCACCCTCTCCCCACGTCCTCTAATCACTGCAGAGGACTTTGTTAAGGCACTTTCCATAGGGTGGACGAGTTCAGATTATATGTTTCTTAAGGTAAGAAGATATCTCTTCAAGGAAAAGTGAAACTGTCTCCCAGAATATCAAGAATGGCTTAAATGATCCCACCAAGGTTTAGGACCTTCTGAACCTGCACGACATCTTCAGGCTGGCACTCTGGTAACACAGAGAGCTTAGAGCACCACCACAAATTTCTCAGGGTTTCTCTCTAGTTAAAAGGAAGGGACTTCCCTTTGAAGTTCCAGTACCGACAGGTCATACTGGGCTTCTCCTGCTCAGACTCCCTGGGACTCCAGGATCTGACAGAGACTTCTTCTACTGCATATCTGCAACCGCAGCGTTTTACCTTCCACGCGGCTTGCACTCCCAGTCAGGGTTCAGTCACTGATCTAGACGGAGCCACCTTAACAGGAATTTTGGATGGGTCTTAGCAAAGGGGAGGAAAAAAGAGGACATAATGTTTAATTATAAGAAATGATTGAAATAGGCACAGACATACCCCGGGTGCCTCTGCACTGCAGCAAGCTCTAAACTTGTTATCGTTAATGGTTTAAATTTCACTGTGCTAATCATTTCAGGACACAAGCCTTTCTTGATAATCTAATGAATTATTCCAACATCCTTCAGCAAAAAAAATCCTCCATGACAGCACTAATTACAAGACGTTTTCCCAGTGCTTATGTAAAATATGACAGAGCAGCAGCTTAGGGAATTGCAGAAAACTGCTTCTAATTTCCACTGAGAAACTGACAAACACCTCTCTTTCATCTCTCCCAGCTCTCAAGTAAGATTTAACTTTCTCATTTAGTTAATTACCGAGTGAGGATCATCATTTTCCCGGATCGGAGCGGCACAGAGCCTTTATCGTGTTAACTTGTGAACTTGATCGATGGCTGCTGCTAAAACTTAATAACTTCACCCCCTGGCAAATTGTAAGATAAATATAATAGGAGAAACTCTGACAGTAAAAACCTGCCAGAAATGAGCGCTGTGTTTATGTTTCTTTGCAGGCAGCAAAAAAACAACCGACAGCTTATTACTGGGTGCGTGTTACTTATATTTAAAAGACTCCAGGCAGTTAACTTTCTGCGT